TAAAAAAAATAGTTTAATTTTCCTAATTATAGTTGTATGAAGGCGCCTCAAAAATTGAATTTTTGCAATTTTCAAAAATCAGAATTTTTAACGAATATGAGGCCTGCAACATTCTCGTAAGGGTCATATACCTATCTAAGGTTAAAAATTTAATCACCATTGTTGGTGCCGTTTTTTGAGAAAAAATGGTTTAAACAAAATTAACTTCGATCCTTTACTTCGATTTTTCTATAATTGCCCGTGAATGACATTAGGTGATTGTCACACCTTCCGGATTACAAAATGAATTTTTTAACAGTGGTAAGCACATTTCTAAGGCCACGAGCCCAATGGAGATTGACGTTCGAGAAATTCGAAATGTATATTTCAATCACAATTATGCGTAATATGCTAAAATTTACGAAAACTTGTGCATTACCTTATTTCGAAATACATCTTTAAGGAAGAGATTTTATTAAGATAAATAATCTCTATCTTTAATATTTTAGTAGGAAGGCGCTGAAAAAAATTTGAACTTTTGCAATTTTCGAAAAATTAGAGTTTTCAGCGAACATGAGACCTGCATCATTCTCGTAGAGGTTCTTCACACTATTTAACAACAAAGTTTAATCAAAAACATTGGAGTCATTTTATTGAAGATTTTGAAAAGTACCCCCCATTAAATTAAAATTTCAGTTTCAAATGCAAGGGGCCACGACATCAGCCACATCGATTGTAGAATGCCAATTTTAGTGAAAATATGCTGAACGGTTTAGTTGTTAGCGTTGTTCGGACGGACGGACGGACGGACGGACGGACGGACGGGCGTTTTGCCGTCAATTGATTTTTCAGTATCAAGGATCTATATAACACATAGAAACAAGAAATATACACTTTTTCGGTATGAAGGACGCAGTTTTTCTTTCGAAATATCACCACTTTCTTCTGCAGCATTACATCATCTCCATAGAACATAAGTAATATGAGAGAAAGTAAAAATTTAATCTGAAAATATATTAACGAAGAAATGTTACTTCGTTATTTCATATTCATCTTATTTCACAACCAAATTGTACAAGTACCCGAAGAGGGGTAAGATGTAAAACATTATATTTCCTCGCAGTCTGTGGCTAAAGTGATGATCAAAAAACAAACAATTATCGAAAAACATGCCCGCTCATTCAGGTAAGTACAAAAGTGGGCCGAATTACATTATTTCTTAGCAAGTTGAATTACATAAAATTACTTGCATAATAAAGAGAATATTACAGTTATGCATGATTTATAACACACTAGCGACACAAAATCTCTAGATGTGCTTCTGACAGATGGGGAATTTACATTCCAGAAGTACAGCAAACAGATATAAGTCGAAATATGTACATTTGTTTAGAGTATGCAACGGAGGAATCATCGTGTGCACGTCAAGGGATACGACACATCCAACATTGTTTTCTTGATTCTTTTATTGCCTTAGGGGTTTTATTGAAAACTGATTGAATAAAGATTAGTGGCTTGTAGCAGAAAAAAACTTGCGAACAAAACTTGCAGTAAATTAAATATTAAAATAGTGGAGCTACAACGGCACATGCGTTTTCGCATTGCTTGCAGCAGATTATTCAGACAAGCAAGGATAATTTCACATATAAACTGAACATGCAGAACTAAAGGCCATCCCGGCAATTAAAGTTTTTCTGTCGAAAATCCGCCATATTTTCCAGCAACATAACAATACTTTCTCTCTCCCGTCTAAACAATAGCGAGAAAGCAAAACGTTCTTCACAAAGAGTGCAATAACTGTATGTATATACAGTTGTTTACCTACCAGGAGTTGCAAAAACGTTATATTTCCATAAGAGCATAGAAAAACAGCATATATTTAAGGGCGGGCGGCCTCTTCCTTCGTTACTTAATGTCATATGACGTCAGATCTGTTGTAAGCAATGACGTATTGAGTATGAGAATTCAGTTGTACGCGCAATATTAGTATGAGAATTCAGTCAAAATCGAAACTGTTTTATTCATTTTCGGATTTTTCCCGGGGTCCTGGATGTCTAACGAAGCCATACACACATCTCACATGGACGAGGTTGCTTAAATATCTTTCAAGTTCTGTGCGCATTCGAAATAAGTAATATAGAAACCGAGACTATTGCTTACAGAAGAGTTTGCTGAAGAATTTTGTCCAAAGCTCGGAGACTGTGTCAATGGCAAGTCATTTGCATAAGAGTGGCGTTGAAGCTACCGTCACGAACGATTTAAAGAGATTTCTTAAACAAGCAAGGAGTTCTTAAACACATAGACGTTTAGCAGATCTACCTCTCTTCTATCAATGGTTAAGAAGTAAGAACAGTCTTCGTTGCAATTTTAATCCTCAAGAAACGCACAGCTGCTCGTGGTGCAATGCTCGATTCCGCGACCAGACGAGCTTTTCCAAGAACTGTCTGGTTAGTTATACGTACTCGCATATTACTTATGTAACAGAGGGAAAGTTATGTAATGCCGCTGCAAAAAACCGTTTCAGAGTCATAAACGGTTCAGGAACTCACGGTTTCAAGGTCTTTATTACTGAAAAAGGGGATTACGACAAAATCTCTCTCTCTCTTTGTATGTGTGTGTGTCTTTCTATCTCACCCTCCCTCTCTCTACACGCACACACACACACATTATTTATAGAAAGAGAGAGAGAAAGAGAGAAAGAAAGAGAGAGAGAGATGTCTGTGAAACTGTGAAAGCTAGAGGGTAAACTGTGAGCAGGAGTTTCAAAACCGATATTCCCCGATCGATTTGATCGATGTCATACAATCTTCTTGACACTTTGTCATGATGACTCAAAGACATTTTACACTTTTTATCAAATTTCTGATTTTTTTATCGAATAGGGCAAAATACGCTTATAACAATGACGTGGGTGTGATTTCGTTGAACTATCTGAATTTTTGAAAATTACATAAGTTTAATAGTTTTCGGTGTCTCCTTTTCAACACAATATTGAAGAGAATTTTCTTGTACATGAAATCTCTTCCTCAAAATCAGATCTTTAACCCTCCGTTAGTGTAACACGGTCTCTGAGACAGGGCCTATCAAAAATCACATATATATTTAGGACTGTTGGAGTGCGGAAGCTATACATTCTCGTATCTCCCGCAGTTTTGAATTTGCACGTGCGTGGGAGATTATTATTGCTTGAAAAGTGATCGTTATGACAAGACACTGTAACACGGTTCATGAGACCGAGCACACTGTTCGTGTAGTGATCGCTGAGATTGTGAGTGAACTGGCAATTTATACATGGTTGGGCATGGTTTGGCACGGTTTTCGGTGATTGTTATGAACTTTCACATTGAAGTGTAATTATTATTTACTGTTATATAACAAACAACACAAAATTCGCGTCAAAAGAGCAAGAACGTCATGTTCCTTGAGCACATAGAAGTGTTGTGCACAGACTGTGAGTTTATTTTGTAAATAATGAGTGATGCTTACGTGACACTATTACTAGTTAAGGCAGTTAACATATTTCAGCTAATACGTTTTACAAAACTGACCCGACAGAACGTTTAAATCACGGTATTCTTATTCTGTGCATGAATTCTGGCTTTAATTGACTATTATTAATTCGTTTATATTTTTGTTTATACTAGTTTTATTGGCTCTTTTTCTTGTAAGCGTGTTTTTTAATCGTTAGTGTGAGGTCTTTGCGATATCTGATCCATTGGGGGCTCGAATACGCGGTCTCAGAGACCAGCCACACTGTTTGTGTTCTTTTATTTCGCCACGCTCATGCATGGTTAAGTGAGTACAAGTGATTTTTTTTAAATATTAATATTTTTTGCTTGGTTTTCCGAGAAAGACAGATAAAAGCGGCTTAATTTTTTTCTCAAAATCGTCTAGAAACATTTTCTTTAGCCTCTTTGCACGTATAGTGCTAAATACATTAAATATCAAGACATTAAGGTCATTGTAATGTATTCTGATTTTTCAGATTTTTCTTGATTTTTCAAAAACAAAAATACTTTAATTGAATTTTTGTGCGATATTGCCTTTTTGAGGTCAAGGGCTTCAAATAAATTCTGATGCGGTTTCTCAAAACACCAGTTTTCTCTGAAAATTATAATTAAGGAATTAAGGAACCGAAAAATTCAGAAAATGTAATAACTCTTGATAAAATTTAGGAGATGGCTAACTAAACTCAAACATTTAACTCTAATTAAAAATATTAGGATACAAGCTAATACGAAAAAGGTTGGGCCCTTCTCTAGGATCACTATTTTTAAAGTGGTTTCACACTCCCTAACCTACTTTCCAACAGCTTCAACACTTCTTTCAAAGTAATAATCTTTTATTAAATGGCAGAAGTCTTGGGCTTAAATTAAACAAAAAGGAGACCCAAGGTGCTGGAAAAAGATCTACCGTACTTCAAAACGCAGTTATAAACCAAAAATATAGATGCAGAAAAATACATTTATTTATTTGTGATCATCAAATGTACGTCATTTTATAATATTTTGTTTTAAAAATTATGATTAGTAAATGGCGTTCTCCGATTGTGCCACCTTGACGAAACCTTTCTCGGATGGCATTGTTCTTCGCACGGAGAAGTCTGTTTCAAGACGTCGGACCCACAGTTCACACTTTACGGTGTTCTCTAGAAATTATGACAACTGTTTCCTCGCCGTATTCTCTCTTTGCAAGGAGACATCACCTGGCCCGCAAGGACGCGAGAGTCAGTTCCTGTTTTTTTTTTCTCTTTGGGGACAAAGACGCAAGTGCACTAACAGCGCTCACAGCCTTGGCAGCATTCAAGGGGCCAATATGCCAGGCACTGGCACCATTCCACCGGAAACGACACGTAGAATTACGGGCAACTTTTGATCTACTGTAAGTCTGAAAATTTTAGGAAGTTTCCCTGAATCACATTCATTATCAACGTGTTGTAGTAAGGCGATTTCTCCTGTCGCGGTAGCATCTCCGTAAATCAGGCGGACAGGAGGTAGGGAGGTGAAGGAATGGGGGCGGAAGGGGCGTTGATAAGCGCGTGCGCGCCGCCTCAGCCGCGAGTGCTATGGAAGCGGACCGGCGCGCCGGGCGGCCCAACCCGAGCGACGAGGCGGGGGCGCTCTCCACGCTCTTCTTCTGGTGGGTGCCCCGCACCAGCCACGTGGTGACGGAGGAGGTTGTGTGCGGTGCTGTGCTTTGTGCAGATAAAGAGCGGAGGGGTTCAAGTGTGAGTTGGTGTGGTGAGCGATAGGGAAAAAGGTGGTGACTCAGACATGTGTGGTTTGATACGGCGCAATGTTATGACGTGACGAGTACAATGAACGTGTGTTCGTTGTGGAAATGTAGGAGTAGTTTGTCAAAATGATGAAACATTTCGTAACGAAGTGAATGTGACTGAAAAACTGCAGTGTGTGTAGTGATGTTTCTTTACTAATACTCTGAGCTGGTACAACTTGTTTGCTTTAAATTCAGTTCTTGGGTGCTACAGCGATGAACGATTTGTAAACAAAACTCTCATCTTGCATGCTGTTCGTCACACATTACACGCTTTCGGGGTGAAGCAAGTTGCAGTAAAAAACTAAGACATTTTATTCAACACACGTTAGAACCATACCAAAGGCGCAATACTATTTATTTTCATTGTTTGTACCGATAACGTAATGTTATAATACGGTAACTTCATTTCTACCAATCATTTGGAAAAGACGTTTCTGCATTATTTGAAACGGTTATGCAATATTTTAATGTTGTTAACTGATATAATCTTCAGCAATATTTTGAAACTCCAGCAAAAAAGAGCTGGTTATATGGCTTTGCAATTTGCGAAAGATCACAGGTTTCAACGAAAATCAGACTTCGACCATTGCGAATTGAATAAGTGTGATGACTCCAGTAAGCCGTGCCGGCGCGGAACGGAGCTAGTTTTGATTCTGGATCCAAATACAAAGGAAGTCATCGTTGACTTATGGATTCAGTGAAATTCAATATTTGTATCCCCGAATATATTAATGTTCTGAAAAAAATAGTTTTAGTCTTTAATTTTCGAAACAGCATTAATTATTGTCAATGACTCATAATATTGGAGTCAAATTGTAAACGCCAAAGCACCAACTTTGCCAATGGAAAACGTTGATGTAAGTTGCTCTAATTATATCTTGATTCTTACATTTATTCGTTAGTAAGTCCCGTATCTACAACATTCTCTAGAAAGTTTAACTTGTACCAAGAGAAAATATTTTTTCCTTCATTATTTGCATTTACACTTTTTTTTATGATCCACACGTTGAGGAGTCATTTTAGACGATACGAATTCCATAAAATATTTTTAATTTTCTTTGTCGAATATTAAGCCGGAATTTTGCACAAGGATCTGGTCTCTTCCTTACAAAATATTTGCATTTCACCGCCAAGAACCAATCAGTATTCCTTTGTGAAGGGAGGAAAGCATCAGAGAGCAAATAGTCAGGCCTCATTCACAACTCCATCTGAAACGCAAAGCAGCTGCAAAACGCTGATGAGTCACAGCTGTTGGATTCGCCACGGTGCCGCGAGCTTCGGTTGCCATAGCACACTGCGCTCAGAAAGGAAGCGTTCCGGTTGTTGACCTGTGTTCGTTCGCGTGTGTTCGTTGTGTTGGTTTGGTTTGAATCACTTCAAATTTAAATGTGATTTCGGTTACTTTTCCTTACTTTGGTTGGTAGGTTGAGGTAAATTCATAAATTTGGAATTTTTTAATAATTTAATTTATTTTTCTTCAGAAAATTAATTTAAAATGTGTAATCCGTTCTCTCGGCGCGAAGCAGCTGGTTTCTCGTGAATCAGGGTAGTTTGTTCTCGTGGACTACGACTTATTTCGTCGTCGAAGGAATTTAAAACATTTTATTCGGGAATCAAAACTTATTATTTCTCCACTGTTTATAAGAGAACAAATTTCTCTAATTTTTTGCAACTGTATGTAGTGTACAGTAGTAATAATTGTATTGAATTGCTTGAATTCTATTGAAATCGTGACGCACTTTAAAATAAATATTTTTCGTGAATTCTAATGTCTCATTTCGAAGCGCAAGGACGTGATACGCTTCACAGAAATATTTCTATGTACCGGAGTCTCATAAGGATAGTTTTAGATTTTAGGAACGGGAAGAAAATATGCTTTCAACTAATTGGGAATGTTCAAGACAAACCAATTTAGCTCTAAACTAGCGCTCCGCGCAATGCGGGATTCGTCAACATCATCGAGCGCATAACTTTTGGCTCATATAGTACAGTGTAAACATCACATTTGGCACCACTGTCACCGTAGAAGACCGTACTGCATTCTGAACCTCGGGCGCGCCCAAGGGAGTCCACGTCCTTTGATCCGTGGCAAAGGCGGGTGCTCCGTAAGGGCTCTCCGGCAACGCCCTCACCAGAAAAATCAACCTCCGGGAAAGTTGATGTAAGAATTAAACTTGCAATAAATCGACTAATTTGTGCATACCTCCAGCGCAATTTTCGAGAACGAATTTCATTCCGCGAATGTGACCGCTTAAGCAAACTAAATGTCATCATAATGTTCCGCATCGTGGACGGTCGCGTGTCCGCACGTAGCTGGTGCATGCGAGAAAATGGAAGCTTCAAGAAGTGTGGGGATTCTGGGTGGGGGCAGCGTGTTGCTATTAAGGTTTTGCTCGGCAGAGACCTCGCCTATTAACTAAACTAAGAATAAGGGCCCTGTCATCTGATTTGATAATTACTGTTTGGTTTGCTGGAAATATGTTTTAAAGAATCTCTAATTTTAGCGTGAGCACTACTGTGTCTTTGTTTTTAACGTAAAAATTGAAATCCCAATGCGGGCAAACCGGTTGTACACTATACGCTAGTTTTCATCGATAAAGAAATATTTTGAAGAGGTAAAACGTATGTGATAGTTAGGACATGCTACATGCCTCCCCTCTTAGTTCGCAACCCATCGGCCGCCATTAATTCGTGGGTAGAAACGAAGAGAAACCTATTTCCACTATAGTAGCTGTAGCAATAAATTGAATTTCAGACTCCTTCAGACTTGAATTTCAGTCCCTCCAACTTTCGTCACAGAAAAGGTTAACAATTTCGTGGTCTTATTTTTCTATAAGAAGTTCAACTACAAAACCAGAGCCATATTGAAAACTAAACATTGTGTGCATTGCAGGTGGACGGTGCCCCTTTTCCGAGATGGCTACTCGCACGACCTGGCGCCAGAGGACCTGTGCGACGCCCGACGCATGGACAGGAGCGCTCTGCTGGGGAACGCCCTCGAACAGTGAGTACACAGCTCGCTTTCCTTCCATGGCTGCCACCCTTACGAAATACTCTGTCGCCAGTGCTTTTGGCACGAGGGAATTTTTTAATTGGGGGGATTCAGTTTTCGCATAGACATAAGCGCTCTGCTGGAGAAAGCCCTTGAACAGTGAGTACTCAGCTCGCTTTGTTTTCATGGCTGCCACCCTCACGAAATACTCTCTCGCCAGTGCCCCTGGCACGGGGGAATTTGTTAATTGGGATTCGGTATTCGCATGAACAGGAGCGGTCTGCTGGGGAAAGCCCTCGAACTGTGTGTACTCAGCTTCCTTTCCTTCCACTGCTGCAACTTCTTAAGCCGCTAGTGTCCCTGGTCTTCTTCTGCCGCTAGTGTCCCTGGTGAGGTGGGAATTTATTTATTTTGAGGGTTTGGCATTCTGTGTTTCCACGGATGTGAACGTCCTGAAACATTGAGTAGCCTACTCGGATTCCTTCCCTCACTGTCACACTTTCTGGCAAGCTTTCTCCGCACTATTCCAGTCGAGGCAGGAATTTATTTGTGGTTGTGGATGTTGATGAATGGAAATTCGGGATTCAATAGGCAAGAGCATTCAGCTGGGACATGCCTCGATCAGCGAGTGCTGACGCGCCACCCAGACAACTCAAAGCACTTCCACCAAAATACAAAAATTAGTTTCAAATTTGACAGTCCTTACATTGAGAAAGATCGATCGGAGATCATGTATTTTGACAAAAATCAGTGGTGCAGAACAACACACATTTTCTCATTATTTGTAACTGTCTTGATTTTATAATACTAGTTGAAGCCGTGGACAAATGTTGCACATTTAAACACGATTACATTTGTTATCGTGGATGATGTACTTCATTCGGGCTCATTGATCAACATATGCCTCAGAGACGGTTTTCAAGTTGAGCGCGTAGGTTTTTTATTTCAAAGCCTTTATCCATTGTACTTTTGCGTTGGCGAAACATTTTACCAGCCGGGCATTCAAAACACCAATAAGGTCACAAACGCATGTGCTTTCCCGTATAATTTGTAAGTTAAGTAATGCAACTGCAAACCAACTAACACTCTACCCATCTCTTGAAAAATCATTAACTAAATAAAATGCAAGGATTCGAAAAAATACGTGTCATTATTAATTTTTGAAAATTCAAAAGTTTGATTGAAAATGAGACATTGAATTTATAGTATTTTGTTCTATACTTTAAAAAAAGTTGAAAAAAATGTTTCTAGGGGCGAAGTTTCTAATCTGAGAGCCTAAGTATCCGCTCAAGAAGACTGAGAGCTTAAGCAGAGCTTAAGAAAGATTTTTTTGCATCAATTTTGAAGTTGGACTAATATTTTTAATGCTTAATTTTTCTAAATGAATTCTACTCCTCAAAATTATAACTTTAAATTATGACAAGCACATTCTATTCGAAGCTAGAATAGATTTGCGTAATGTTGTATGAAAACGTGACAAATTTAAAGATACTCTACAAAATTTTTGTACAAATCGCACTTCTGACAAAAATTTGTTTTAATTTTTTTGTCTAGCAATAGATCACAATACAATGAATTTAATGACAGAAATTAAATTTTTCAGATATTACAAATATGAATTCCTTTTAATATTGCGCGCTTTGTCTGATAATTTATTCAACATTATGTCACAGAAGAGGGAAGTCCTGGGGGAAAGAGGGAGGGGCGGCTGGGGCAACTTTCTCCAGACCCCGAATTAATTGAAGCCAAAGAATTAAAAACATATTCCCTTTTAACGCAAATTTTATGTCACACGTTATTTCTGATTCATGTAGAAATAAATTCTGTTTATGAATTGGGGGAGGAGGGAATTTTGTGTATGACGTCAGAGGCCTCCGTATGCCATTACATTATGCCATGCCAATATTATGTCATTACATAACCGTTACAAGACATCATCTTTGACGCGACAACTCATGTAGAGGCAAGGCCGTTCGAGTAGGCTGCATCTTCTGTTTACCCGAGGCGCTTGCACAGGTGATGCGAGGTCAGCGCAACGACTCGATTTACTAGACGGATGATGACGCTACGTTTAGTAGGCGACTCTTCATTTGGTGCTCACGAGTAGTGATGAGATTCGATAGTGCCCCAACGGTTGGTTGAAAATATTATATAATATATATATATTAGTATGATTGCTTTTCAGACCAATTCAATTCAATCAACAATTGGAATCGTTTGGCACGCATGACGGTATCTGCGCTGTGAATGGTGAAATGCAGCTATCGAGGCGGCACTTTCAAAACCTCGAGATAATGAACATTTCGTAAATAATAGAGTATTCAGTGCGCATTCAAAAGAAACGAACATTATATGCCTTTATCAAACGCTTAATCTATAAATAATATCGTATTTTATGAGAAACTCTCCAATGAATCTAAATTTCTCTATTTTCATATGGATGCATAAATATAAATGCATGAAAGATGTGAATATAAATTAATCATGGAATAGTTATAGAGTTTTAATGCTTTCATAACTGCTGTTATTTGTGGTTGATAAATTATCAATGTATATTAAATAACATAATCGTTGTGTAAGTATTAATTTCTTAATTTCAGAACATGAATATTGCACTCATTTTTCTTTACAGAAGATTGGGGTTTGGTTTCACGAAATTGATTCATTAGCGCCACCAAGGAGAGAAGTCCGAACGAATAATTACATGATACAATTCTCTTAAGCGTGCTTAACGATACGAAAACTTTAATAAAAAATTGGGCCTTTTTAAAAATGTCCCATGGGTTTCTTGTTAAGCAGCCTCTAAAATGATAATATCGATTTCAAATTCAATGGACCGCGACATCAGTCAGATCGATCAAGGAATATAAAATTTGTAGACAAACGTTAGAACGGTTTAGGCGGTATCGACGGACCAGATAGGAGACTTTTGCTGTCAACCATTTTTCGGTCTCAAGGGCACACAAAACATGGATTGTGACTACAGAACGTGTTAGAGGAAGTAATTTACTACATACCGGAAGTAAATATATCCCTTTTTGGTTACGAAAGTCCGGAATTAAAGGTTTTTGTAAACCTTTAATCGAAAATTCGCCATTTTCCGGCACACGATGACAATACTTTCTCTTCTTACATATGTAAGGGCGAGAAAGTATAACTAGATCTTTTTTGAATACATATCCCTACCATCGTCTTAATGACATCCAATATCATTCATTGCATAAACAACGTTTGGAAGTTTCTTCGATTTTCAAACAATTATTCTTCACAGTCGTTAATGAAAAAGTAACTCTAAATTAACTAATACTTCATACATTTTAAAAGATATAATATTTACAAACATTTTCAATTAACACAATGGGTTGTTTTCTTTCCTGTAATTTATGTTTGGGCTATTTGTTCATTTATCCACTACTGCCTAGCGCACAAAAATATTTTTCTTTCAGGTATTTCGTACAGAAAATAATTTTCTCTAATTATTATTTCTTCAGGCACTACCGAGTATGTTAAAACGTTCCTGCAAATAAAGATGACCTTTGTCATCATTCTTTCATTCGGAGAAGATCTCGTTCATTACTAATTCATCTTTCTAACTTTTCCTTTCTACAGAATTTTCCACAAGAAAATCGGTGAATTTTTCATAGACTGTATAAAATACAAAATTGTTTTAGTAATTGAAAACTAGTCATTGCTAAGTATGTGAATTTAGTATTTCGTTAGGAAATTATGTTGAATATATTTGTAAGCAAGAACATTTCAAAAATGGGAGTATAATGGAATATTACTTGGAATATTATAATGTTAATTTTCCTCTACCAAACGTGACCCCGCAATTTACTGGCATTTGCTTGAATTATTTTAATAAAATCCTAGACAATTTGCTAATTATATTTTTTTCGTTTAACTTAGCAATTTGCAAGAGACTAACAATACACTCGTCTTCATCGGAAATGTGTACATTTTATCATGAAGGTAGTAAATTATTCCTTAAAATGCAACTTTTCATTTAGTATTTTCAATTTATAATGTTTCCCAATTCATTAAAACAAATTACCTTCTCATTGTTTTTAAATATGTGTATTAAGGTGTTAAATTAGCACTTTTAAATATTGTGCACCACTTTATTTAAAGATTTGCACTTGTCATAAAATTCTTCATTCAGGAAAATACAAAAGTAATCTAGTGGTGTTACAGAACGGCACAGATCGACAATGTTTCGTTGAATGGTTTGCACGCTGACACTTGTTGATGACCCAGCATTGAATTCTGCAGCAATTTGCGGAAGGGTTGGATCTCTGTCATGTGTAATAATTCCTCTCGATCGTGGTCAGTCCCATTCTTGCACGATCTTTTTGAAGCCGCAGCGATGCCGGAGGTTTTTTATGATTCACCGGATTTCTGATATTCACAGTACCCTTATGAAACGGTCGTACGGGAAAATAGAATTTCATCGCGACCTCGGATACGCTATGCCCCATCTCCCTTGCGCCGGCTGTAATACCACGTTCAAACGCACTTCAATCGCGGTAGCCTGCCATTGAAGCAGCAGTAACCGATCTAGCAAGTGTGCCAGACTGGTTGTCTTATATAGTCGTTGCCGATCGGAGCGCCGTATTCTGATTGGTTGCAGATCTTTTAATTTCAAAGAGCATGCATTATGGTCTTCAGTGTATATACCCTGAACTGTATAGACTCCAATGACTGTGCTCGTGGGCTGATGTGCGCAGGCACTGGCTGCGCCAGGAGGCGGCTGCGAAGCGGCGCAAGGGAAGGCCCAACCTGCGCACCGCCATCTTGAAAACCTTCGGCGCAGAATACGTCAAACTGGGAATTCTCGTCTTCATCACCGACATCGTTCTCCGGTAAGTACTCGACTCGCTTCTTATTTGTCCAGAAAACATTACAGTAACATCTCGATAGATTATTAAAATTGAAACAGCATGTTCTAATAATGTGAGGGGCAGCCCTAAAGACCATTTAAAAAAATCGAGTTGAACCTATCTACAACACCTGCCATGTTCTCTGAGAAATCCTGTTTCCTTAATATTATAGGTTTCCTTTTTCTGGTCAGTTGACAAAAAACTCTGCTTGATAATATTAGCCTTGTAATATTAGCCTAGTTACTTAGAAACTTAGTAGTAGCACTGTCACATAAGACGCATGGAATCTCATACGATTGCCATTCAACAGAAAGTGCTTCGAGAAAAAATATATCATTCATTTTTTACCAGAGACGAAAATGATTAATAACATCATCTTGACCACTTAATAAGAGAAAACTCTATACACTACAGTTTGTTGCCAATCCGGTCTTTTTGCTCCAATAACATTGAATCGCGTTGTCCACATAGATCAACCGAGTTTCTGGTACTAGTTAGTTTTGGCTCGGTGTGGTCCGCGCCCGTCAGCAAATCAGTGAGGCTGGGTAGCGAAACATCATTGGGCTTAAAGCCACTTCACCTTATTCACTCACGTCTTACACTACCTGCCTGAATTAACTGCTTTTTACACCTTAGGGTACATTGCCTCCTGCTTGCCTACTGCTTCATTCTGCAATGGCACGTAAGCCCATTAGCGGAAATCTGTCTCTACCACGTTTGATTTGTAAGCCTATTGCAGTGGAGAACTACTATCTCTCCAGCTAATCTTTCGTAAGTCCATTGCCGCTAAAACAATTTCTACCACTTGTGACTCATAAGCCCATTGCGGTGGAGAACTTTACAGCTAGTGGACTCGTATGACCATTGCGGCCGAAAATTATCACTTGTTACTTGTAAGCTTTTTGCGGTCTAGATCTGTCTATACAGCTAGTGAGTCGTAAATTCATGGTGGCTCAATTGTAAAGGTGCTAAAACTTTCTACAACTTTTGTACGAGATATTTTTTTCGAAACTAATCACCAACCGGACCGTGACCTTTTTCCAGGTAACCCCACTTTTGAGAACCCACCGACTAGATCATAAAAGCTTCCCGCTACTTCTAGTTTTACTCCAGATTTGCGGAACTATGCCAATAGTGTAGCGTGGTTATTGTACGCGTGTATTCATGCGCAGACTGGCACAGCCGCTGCTGCTGGGTGGCCTGCTGTCGTACTTCGAACTGGACAGCGCGGTGCCGCGGCGCGACGCTTACCTCTATGCGGGGGGAATCGTGTTGAGTGCGGTGTTGAACGCGCTCTGCTCCAACCACTACCTCATGCGCGCCGCCCTCACCGGCATGCGCGTGCGCGTCGCATGCTGCGCACTCATCTACCGCAAGGTACTCTCATCTTCACTTTACTTCTTCCTTCTCTTTCCCTTGTAAATGATGAAATGGTAAAGGGAGAATGGTCACGTTTAAAACTGTACTGTTCAAAATTAAAACGTTATTCATCTGAATATGTTCAGACCACTTATAGTTAGATGAATAAAGAGCGAAGATGTACTTCGTGCCCCGCGTTGGGCAGGTCGCAGTCTGCTAGTGCCTGAAAAAAGATGAACCCACTTGAATAAATTCCGTTACACGCGGGACAGATAGTTGCGAGATGCTGCGCGAATGCCGAAAATATTTCGTCGCTGGTTGGCGCGAGTTGTTGTCGTCGGGAATGGACTGGCACCCGCGGTGTCGGAAGCCACAGTGTGGAATAGACAACTGGTGATGTTCACCGAGTGTGTGAGTATGGGGGGGGGGCAAGGCATTACGATAGAGAGCGCGTCCACTGGTAGAGTAGTTTTCTAAGCTGCACGTAGTGTTTTTTTTTACCCTCAATGTTTAAATGAACGGTTAAATGAAAAACGGTTAAATGTAATTGATCATGTGAAAACGACGTTGAATAAAATTAAGAAGTTATTTGTGCGTCAATTATACGACTGATACAATAAACACCTAAAATTTAAACTGTAATCCTGAAAATTTGGCGAATGGGTGCAGTTTTAATTCATGATTTACATTTTTTATCAATTGCGCAGGTCAACGAGGCGTTATTCTTGGAATCTAAACGGCATTTTTCTGAGCAAGAAAAATAGAAGAAAAAGTGGCTCGAAACTTTGCATTTCTGATCTAGTACGCTTGAACTTCTTGAACAAAACAATAACTGATAAAATATTGTGTAAGCGTTTCAAAATTTTGAAAGACCTTATAAACGTTTTCTCCATTCTATTAGTTCATTTGTACAGAAAATGCAAATTTTGGCATTGTAAATAGATTTATAATCTAATTTTTATTTGAAAATAAAAATGATAAATTTTGTGATATGTTTGGAGATTCATGCAAATTCCAAACTGTTTTACCATCAGCATGCTTGCGGTATCCTAATGCGTTCGAATTTTGAGGTTTTGAGGTTGGTGCTGAGTGACGGTGGCGTTGGTGCGCAGGCGTTGCGGCTTAGCCAGGGAGCGCTTGGGCGTACGGCAGTGGGCCAGATGGTCAACCTATTGTCCAACGATGTGAGCCGCTTCGATTTGGTCTGCATGTTACTGCACTACATGTGGGCGGCGCCCCTGGCGGGCGCCATCTGCGCCTACTTCATGTACCGCGAGGTGGGCTGGCCCGCCTTTACTGGCATCGCCGCCGTCTTCGTGGTGGTCCCTCTGCAAGGTAAGCATCCTAAATCTTTGAAGACACACGAATAGCTGACTGATTTCAGCCAAAAACTTTATCCGAATTATCTGAACGTGAACGAAGTGAAAGATACTTGGAGCCTAATTCATTGTGGAAAATTTAAAAAAATTAAGTTGTAGTACCGTCCAAAACGCTACTAAGAACACAGCCACAATGACGTTAGCAGAGATTAAGGAAATACTGCGGTCGGAAATTCCAAGCCCCACAATACGCTGCCACGACTACATAGATTACGTGGAGAAATATGGACGCGAATATGTACTTCGTGCCTCGCGTGGGCAGGTCGCAGTCGGCTAGTGCCGGAAAAAAGATAAACCCACGTGGTAAATTCCGTCACACGCGGGAAAGATAGTTGAGAGATGCCGCGCGAATGCGAGTCGTTATCGTCGGAAATGGGCTGGCACGCACGGTGTCGGAAGCCAGTGTGGAATAGACAACTGGCGATGTCGTTCACCGAGTGTGGGAGTATGGGGGGGTTAGTCATTACGATAGAGAGCGCGTCCACTGGTAGAGTAGTTTTCTGACCTGTACGCAGTGTTTGTTTTTCTACCATCAACGTGACCTATTTTCGACATCAGATGGATAACTAGGTCGAATTCAGACGTAGGGAATTCAGACAGTGAGGAAAAACATTCCTCACTAAACTTTCTCACGTAAATTTGTAAATTCGTTTGATATAATTTTATATATCAAACATGAATTATATCTTTGATTTGAATTTTCATTACTTTGAAATACAACCCTCGCCATGAGCGTTGCTATAACAAGAATAGATGGAATTCAAGTTCAAAATAAGACTTTTGAAGTTAAGTTAATTTTTTTATTGCCTGTAAACAAACATATTTTGTTTCTTTCATTTTCTTATTTATAGCATATAAATAGTATCATCACAAAATAATACATTCCGAAAGAAATTATTTGAAAGTTTCAATAGAGTTATCTTGTTTCTATTACGGTACCTGTGTATATTAACACAAAAATTAATGTTTTCAAATTACTTACAGGTTTGAAATCAACTACGAACATTTAAAACATTATATAACCCAACTCGCGTTTCAGTTCGTTGAGGTTTGTCAGTACTTCAAAATATCACCAAAAACGAGGTATTTCAGTCTTGTGTAATATTCTTAGTTATTCTTATTTAGTTAGATGCTAGCAATATAATTATCTCTATTTTCATCTTGCAAAGGATTCTTACATGTCCAAGACAAGTTCAATGGGATGTAAGAAAAATCTACGTGCGTCCATAGGGGTCCACCTGATTGAAACATTACATTGGCCGACCGGGGTCTAAGCCCAAGATGATGTTAACTAACCGTTTCCTTTCCCGTGCGCAGCCTACATGGGTCACCTGTCCGCCAAGTTCCGCCATAAGATGGCGGTGAAGACTGACAAGCGTGTGCGCCTCATGGACGAGATCATCTCGGGCATCCAGGTCATCAAGATGTACGCGTGGGAGAAGCCCTTCGCCAAGTTGGTGGCCAACGCCCGCAGGTGAACTCAGCCAAACGCAGCGCCTACATAATGGCCAATTCAAGTATTGCGCGTGGGCGGCTTGGCCGTGACTTCTACAGAAGCCATGACCTCTTCGTGTGACGTTGAGGGTTTCGTGCGACTTCGGAATCTCAAATCACTAAACATTTGGCACAAATAATAAAATATTTGTCTTGCATGTCTGCCTGCCACATTGTGAGGGACCCTATATCATCATAATGTCATACTATAATAATATTTAGACCATCATATCTGTTTCACTATCACTGCTTATGTACATTTTTATCAACTATTTTATCTACCATAGTCTAATTTTTCGTCTGTTTCACTATCTCTTTCAGTTACTATGACACTGCTTTCGCAGTCTCATTCCTTTTTCGCTGCAATTGATCATCTTTCCACTTCTACGATCTTCCTTTGACTTCTCATTTTCACCTCTTAACTTTCCTAGTTCCCATCCTATTTTCTGAATCCTCGTTCACTTTATTTCCTCAAACTCACTCAATAATTTTCATAATACTTAATATTTATCCTTTCGTTTTGTTAGTGCGTCCGCCTTCATGTTTCTCTCTTGACCTCGTTGTCTTTTTCTCAGTTACCTCAAAGAATCTCTTTCTCTAGTACTTCTTGTACTCTGCCTCCATCGGCTATCAGCTCCCTTGCAATAAGTAGGATTCATTTCGATGCGTCCTCATGATTAAAGTTATGATGCGTCCTCATGATTAAAGTCGTCGTTTTCATTGGATGTATGTCGCGTCATTTGAGGCAAGACGTGTTTGGTCTGACGCTACATATTACCGACATATGTGAGTATTCCGCCCACGTATCACAATATTCACAAAATTACCGACGTTGTTTAACATTCTGTCTGTGTTATTTGCTGTCAACAGATTCGACACATTTTAGTTATTCCAATTGTATTACTGCTCCATCTCTCCCACTTTTCTTGTATCTCATGAAAGTTTCTTCCGGTTGACCCCAGGCAGGAGATTCGCGTCGTGACGAAAACATCGTTCATCCGGGGTCTCTTCATGACGTTCGGCCTGTGCACCACCCGCATCGCACTCGCCTGCACACTCGCCACCATGGCGTTCGCGGAGATGCCGTTGCGCGCCAGCCAGGTGTTCGTGGTACTCTCGTACTTCAACATCCTCTCGCAGACCATGTCCATGGTGTTCGTTCGCGGCATCGCCGAAGTGGCCGAGACGATGGTCTCCACCACTCGCCTGCAGGTGTGTTTTGTCTGAATACACGCGGCGGCGATGGTGTAACGGTTAGTGTACTGGTCTGTTGTACCCAAGTTGACGGGTTCAAACCCGATCGATGCCGTGGATTTTTAAGGGCGAAAAAATCCTTCGTACGCCTTCCTTCGGAGGGGAAGTAAAGCCGGCTGTCCCATGTTCGTAGATTTACTTGCATGTAAAAGATCTTCAAGCCTAAATGACGCCTCTGAGCTAAATTCAAATCAAGCTCAAGAAATACCTCCTTTTTCTCCTAGTTGGTGAAAGGAGTGTAGCGAAATTTGCGTGGTCAGACGGAAGAGCGGGCCTGATGGCCCGAGTCTAGCCACGTAAAATAAGGCAAATTCAATCCAATTCAATACACGAACAGGGGTGCCACAAGGCACGTAGGCATTCTGGATCGTCCGCCTGGAGACGTTATTATAGACCCCATGTGTTGTCCTTTAGGGACAAAGACTTTTAAAATTTTTCAAAAGAGTTAAATTGCATTCTAATTATAACACTCAGATACATATTCAGGAGCAATGTATTAATGATAATTTATTTACATGAAATGTTTCATATAAATAAACATATTATATAAACGAAAAGAACAAGGGTAGGGGAATGATACGTAACTCACATTTTTCAAGTTTCTTACTTCAGAAAATTGTACAGGACCTATATAAATTTAATAACATCCAAATGCAAATAAACAAATTATATCCATATTAATAAGTTGACTTTCATCAGAAATACATATATCAGCGCAAACCAACAGCAAACTGAAGACGGCGTTCCGAAAAAAATGAATCACCGCACATCTTGTCCTCTAAAGGATTTTTTTAGTTCTGCGTTCTTGCTTCAAAAGTGTACAATTAGCGACTCTGCACTTCCAGGATATGAGTTTTAGGGAAGGTATATGCTAGTTGGACAATGTATAGAATGCTGTGTTAAAAAGAGTTGTAAAAGGAAATTAAAAATAGTTAATTAATTTTAATTATTTCCTGCTGAAAATGCTAACCATGTTAAGAGGGCGTCGATTAGTCACCAGTCTGTTCATTTCCAGTGAATGTCAAGTTTAACTGCTTCAACGTTTCGTTTCAGGACTTCATGTGCCACGAGGAGCTGCAGGTGCCGCAGCTGATGGAGCCACCGTCGCTGAACGGCCAGGCGGGCAAGGAGGGCAAGGGGAGCGCAGAGCAAAGCAAGGGGGAGGGGGAGGACGATGACGTCATGGTGGCGGTGAAGGGCGTGACGGCGCGCTGGGAGCCTACGCAGCCAGAGCCCACCCTGGCCAACGTGGACCTGGCGGCTCACCGCGGACAGCTCATCGCGGTCATCGGACACGTGGGCGCAGGCAAGGTAATGTAACTTTCTTCTGAGGGAAGGGTCCCTAAGGATATATACACGTACGGGGATGCTGACTAATCACTGAGAATTTCGTGGCATCGGGAGCGCCTTTGGCCGTGGGATTTTTTGAGCGCACGGATGCCAGGATTTAAAGGTGTTCCTACCCCTTGAAGCAGCAGAACGGCCTAAAAGTCGGTTTACTGATTCCACTTTCCACGTCCCTCCTCTACATGGCACTGCGGGTACTGCCACGACAGCTCGAAAATTCCGACCTCTCTCCCGATTTGTGTGGTAGGTACGTACAAGAAAATGTGAGTGTATAAAGGGAAAAGAGAGGACACAGAGAAGTAGGAAACGTCGTTCGCGGTCTGGGGCATATTTGTTACGATACTGTTCCAGCAACCGTTCGGAGAAACTACGAAAATAAAAAAAATAGAACAGTCTAGGTTAAAATTCTCCTCCAGAGTGCAAAACACAGCGGCAAAATTTTACTAAGCAATAAAATTATGTAATTGATTGTTAGTGATTCCAGGCTAGTGAACTTCTAAGGGCAATATCACACACATCACTCTCTCAGGAACAAGACCAAACGTCACTTAACAATTTCCACCTGCACTCACGCGCCTCTGCACACAGGCAGCCACTCCTCATCACAAGACCAAAAGGCACTTGACAATTTCACACTGCTCTCCACGCGCCCCTACACCACACATACTCTCTCAGGAAAAAGATCACAAAGGCACTTAACAATTCCACCTGCAACTCCACGCGCCTGCACACAGGCACACTCCCTCACACAAGACCAAAAGGCACTTGAGCATTTCACACTGCATCTCCAACGCCCCTACACACACATCACTCTCTCAGGAACAAGATCACAAGGCACTTAACATTCACTGCAACTCACGCGCCATGCACACAGGCACCACTCCCCTCATCAAAGACCAAAAGGCACTTGAAATTTCACACTGGGCTCTCCACTGCGCCCTGCCACACACATTTCACTCTTAGGAACAATACCAAAGCGTCACTTAACAATTCAACCTGCAACTCAGCGCCCTTGCACACAGGCACCAACTCCCTCATCACAAGACCAAAAGGACTTGACAATTTCACACTGCATCTCACGCGCCCCTACCCAACATCATCACTCTCTCAGGACAAGATCCAAGGCACTTAACAAATTCCACCAGGGGGGGGGGGGGGGGGGGGGGGTGTCAACTGCACGAGCCCATTGCATCACAGGCACCACTCCCTCATCACAAGACCAAAAGGCACTTGACAATTTCAACACCTGCATCTCCACGCGCCCCCTTTGCACACACCATCAGCTCTTTTAGGACAATACCAAAACGTCATTACAATTCACTGCAACTCCACGCGCTTGCACACAGGCACCACTCCCGTCATCACAAGCCAAGGCACTTGACAATTTCACACTGCATCTCCACGCCCCCCTGCACATACATACTCTCTCATGGAGAAAGGAAAAACAAGATCACAAGGCACTTAACAATTCCACTGCACTCCACGCGCCCCTGCACACAGGCACCACTCCTATCACCAGAACAAAAGGCACTTGAACCACTTCACAACTGGCATCTACACGCGCCCCTGCACATCACATCACTCTCGCTCAGGAGCAAGACGCAAACGTCATAAACAATTCCACCTGCCAACTCACGCGCCCCTGCACACAGGCACCACTTCCCTCATCACAAAACCAAAGGCAACTTGACAATTTCACAGCTGCATCTCCACGCGCCCCTGCACACACATCACTCTCTCAGGACAAGACCAAACGTCACTTAACAATCTCCACCTGCAACTCCACGCGCCTCCTGCACAAAAGGCACCAACTCCTCATCACAACGACCAAAAGGCACTTTTTGAAATTTCACCACTGTCATCTCCACACGCCCTACACACACATCACTCTCCTAGGACAAGAATCACAAGGCACTTAACAATTCCACTGCAACTCCAACGCGCCCCATCGCACACAGGCACCACTCCCTCATTCACAAACAAAAGGCACTTGACAATTTCAACACTGCATCTCCAGCGCGCCGCCTGCACACAGCATCCTCTTTTAGGACAATACCAAACGGTCACTTAACAATTCCACCTGCAACTCCACGCGCCTTGCACACAGGCACCACTCCTCATCATAAATAACAGACCAAAGGCACTTGACAATTTCACACTGAGCATCTCCGCCCCCTACACACACATCCTCTCTCAGACAAGATCACAAGGCACTTAACAATTCAGCCTTTGCACTGCACGAGCCCTTGCACACAGGCACGCACTCCCTCATCACAAAGACCAAAAGGAACTTGACAATTTCACACTGCATCTCCACGCGCCCACTGCACACACACACTACTCTCTCAAAAGAAGACCACACGACACTAAAAATTCATCCTGCATCTTCCCGCACCCTGCGCCCACGCACTGCTCTTGGCATACACCTTCTTTCATGTCCGCAGTTACACAAGCACTTACGAAAACCTAAACTTGGGAAATAGTAAAGTACGGGGTACAAAATTTAATAGGCTAAAGTTCATTGAGGCCATAGCAGTCCCTTGTGAGCCACTGCTCTTCCACCTCTGTCATTGCTCGTCTATATTACGTCGTTCCTCGTTTGTACTTAGCCGGCGGAATGAAGACCGTTGAGGTCGTGCTGTTGTGTGGTGAGAGAGCGGACGCATAGAGGCCGTGAACAGCCAGGAGAAGGGAGTTTCGGACGTTTACTGTCGAGCAGAAAATTTCGTACTGGTGGATAATACATACTATGTACTATTGAAGTATAGCGATGGTAATTATTCCTTGTATATAGTTAGTACTAGGGATTATGATGCATACGCATCTCTGCGCGCACAGATATCTATCATAGTCTCGTGACTAATTATTAACAGCTTGGATATAATTTAAAATAGATGGTGGAATTATTTAACAGAATCATTCGTCATGAATTTAGATAATCGTCTAACTATGTATTGAATTTTCTACATGGAAGCGAAGACGTTAAATGTCATTATAATTATAAGGTGTTTTGAGGAAGTA